TCCAAGTCAAATTTGGATTAAAATTGCCACGAGACAGAAAACAATTAAGGTATTGACAACTTCCTATCACATGAGCATCTAATGCTGTATCAGTCCGATTAGCCCCACAAACACTGGATGACGCCATTACGTCTGTCTAATACAATCTATGGGAAACAGCAAGCCTGGTTTATGAAATTATATTATTATATTAACTGTCTGTAATCAGTCAAATGCAGACAAATAATATTGTGTAATTACAGCTGTACTCGTCGTTAGATCCTCATTAATTCGATTTTTTGTTTCCTTTTAGGCAAAACTCTATTTTAGCAGAGCCATGAAGACAAAGACAAAAGAAACGCCATTACCACTGTCCCTACTGTGCCACGAGCATCATCCCACTGGAATAAATTATCAACAAAAAAAAAATCCTCAAGCGTTTAATTCTGCACAGACCCAGTCATTTCTTTTGCCTCCTGAAATAGCGCTCAAATTGAACACTATTTCCAGACACTAAATATAATTACTGCCCAGTTAAAGTTGATTTTAACAACTATTGCTTAGCAACTGCAGTGAGCCTTGAATCATGTAAACGCAGAGTTACTTGAGAATTTAAGAGCTGTAAACATCACAGTAAAAACAAAACCAGAGACATGGTCACACTGACCAGGATCTTGCAGAAGGATTTGTATTCCAGATAGGTCAGGTGTTCAGCCAGTTCACAGGAGTCGAGGTGATCAAACAGCAGGGACATTTTCCTCTTTTTGGACACAGATGGGACACGCTGGGTCACCTGCCGCTTCCATTTATACGACGGCCTGAGAGGGGAGAAATCGCACAGTTGTCTCTTTTAAGATCTTTTGGAACTGCACCATAAAAAACTACATAAGGATCACTTTTATAGCCGCTGCAAAAGTTAGAGCTGGCCTTTAAGGGCTGTTTGGGGGAAAAAAAGGAAAAACTACGATGAGAAAATGATGATAGTACATTGTGTCTACAATATAAAAAGCCCTGAGAAACCTCATATTTGTAGACTGAACTACAACTCTCCAACTATTGCTGTAGAAGTTATTTTTAGAAGACTATTCCCCTGCTTATTCTAAGATATTCTGGCATTGAAATCAAATCAGCTCCACAAATCCATTTCCTTGGAGCAATAAAAGAAAGCGGAGCCATATAGAAGTGGCATTTCTCAGAAAAGGACAGGTCACTGGCCCTGCATAGCACAGCTCAGCAATTTCAAATAACTTGCTGACATAAACATCGGCAGATGGGGACACTCATTCAAACGCAGCATTCAGCGGCCTATTCACTCACACACTGTCCAAGTCAATGAGCTGACTCTGCCTCTCATTGCCCTCAGTGGTCAAGAGGTCTTTATAGTCTTTGATCTGGTCTGCCAGCTCCGGGTTCAGATTGAACTCTGCGGGAAACTCAGAAATCCAGTACCTGGAAGAAAGAATAAAGGGAGAGAGAGAGAGATGAGCGTGATGGCATACACTGAAAGGACTGGGCTGTGGTCAACTCATAATTTAAAATAGCATTATAGTTTTGGTATTTGATGAAACGAAGCACCTAATTGGAGCACATGAAGAAGACCATAGAAGAAGAAAAAAACACTAGAAAGGATAAAAGGATAAATGGAAATGACACTTGGAAAGATCAAAGATCTCTTAGGAAAAGGCAACGAGACGAGCAGAAGTCAGAAAAGATGGTTTGTTACTTGAAGAGGTGGCATATTTTCGTTCGGCGCTCATCGGTGCAGCCATCCTCTTGAGATCTGATGCTGAAGTCAAGGTGCAACCGAGCTGCTCCTCGCAACACTACAACAACTTCTTCAAAAATCTCATTTAGACTTCACAGATTTAGAAGGGGAACAAAGTCTGGCACTATTTCCATTGCTCTGCGCATTATGTGTGAAAAAAGATATATTCATAGGAGGCATTCTTAGAAAAACACTAAGCAAAAAAACACATAACATTTGTCACTGATGTAAGAACACTCAGAGGTGAAGGATACTTGAGCACGAGCTTCTTGGCCAGGTCAGCTGAAGGGATATACCAAGGGTGCATCATGAGGAACATGCGGACCAAGGATGCATCCTTCAAAGTGCCCTTCTCATCTATGAGGAAAAACAGGGAGTCACCTGTCATTAAGAAGATACCTCAGCATGTTCAATTTGTGCTTGTGTTTTTTATTCTACTGCCTCCCTTTACAAGCAGATGAATAATTCATATAAAAGAAATAATACTTAAATAACCAACCAAAGGCTTTGATGCAGGCTTCCACCAGCTCGTCCACAGTGGCAGACTGTTCCGATAATATGGACTCCATCGTAGCGGTCCTCTCAGTTTTCCCCCTCGTTTACCTCTCTGTGGTTTGAATCTGTTGGCTCTCACTGAACACAAAAGGAGATGAAAAGAGAGGGGAGTAATTATGAAGTAAACACAGGGGAAGCAAAACTTACTCTGGCTACTGCAGCACACTTAAAATAGCTGTGTGGTTAGTTCTTCTATATCCTGTTCAGCACTGCAGAGTG